AAAAGTTAACTATAACCGAATAAAAGGAGCCGGCCAAGAGGCCACCTTAACACCAAAAAAAAAAAAAAAAAACTATATAATATAATATATGAAATCAGCTATTCCAAAGTTATTCATTTTCTATAATATAAATGGGATCCATGCCCACGGTCAACGACGAGGTACACAAGGCATAGCTCGTACCGAACCTAATGTGAAACCCACACCGGAACAATGAATCCCCTGAACTGCACCCTTCGATACTTACGGTACTAGCGTTCCGTAAGCTAAGACATACGCAAAAACTTTATCACGTACACCCAGATACAGACAGCAACATAGACCTATGTTGTTATTTTTCCATCCCCTTTTGCAAAATTGTTCATCATCTTCCGAAAAAATAGATAACTCATTTTTTATTACATACCTTAGAAGTCACGTTAAACTGAGATAAGATCTCTACTAGCTTTTGCTTATTTTTTGAATTATTTGTCCCACACGTAGTTATAGCTTCTTCTAGCTCCTGGCGGTATTGAGATTCTGCTATATTAACGTTGTTTCTTCTCAAAGTCTTAACCTTCGGTAGATAGACATTTGGTAACCATTCTTTAAAATACAATACATTGCTTGGTTGGTTGCGGTTAAGGTAAAAATAATTTTCAGACATTTTGGAAGCAATAAATGTTAGTTCGATTTTTTAATCACTGTAAAGCGATAAACTTCCATAACTTCATTATACTCCCCTTTATAAATGAAATTCGCTCTTCTCTGAATGGCAATACAAATAGCAGGACAATAGCAGAAAAAAGACCTATATGTGCTCTACGCCATTTTTTATATTCTACATTACACTATATTAGTCTTATGGTGACCCTTAGGCATGTGGAATGCATGTTGGAGATCTCGACATCTTCGGCATTACGGCGTAGAGAAAGATCGCTATATATTATACTTCGCCCTTTTTTTCTCTCAAGTTCGAAAAAAAGATATATAGTTAACTAATTATATCTGGCTTCGAGCAAGTATTGCGAGAAGACGGGTTAGAAGAAGAAATAAATTTTTGTACCGGCTTTGGAGTAGATCTAAAGCTTGGGTATTATTTTTTCTATAAACGTTTGTAAATAAAATTCAAAAAAATTCGTATAAAGATTTGGTTGCACAGATAATGTATGTGTCATGAGATTGTTGACCGAATTTGGGTTAGGGTACTATTTCGAGAAAAACTTAAAAATGGTACTTTTTACTCGTTCCACATGAGTTATGAATAATGATAAGCCTTCTAAGGTATTATAGTTCAGATAAATTTATACGTATGCGAAATTTATTCTAACACGTTATCACATTCACATTGCTTATACATTCCATCTGCCACTTTTTTATATGTTTTACAATATAGGTGTGAATAATGATTACATTCGTCACACACCTTACACCCGTGCTTCCACCCTCTAAAGATATGCCACTTTCTGGACTTAAGTCTAGCTTTTTTTATTTGTAAGTGAACTATGTTCTTTTATTGTTATATATTAACGGAAAAAAAATAATATTTATGTGGCTAGGTTTTTATCAAACCTGCACTTTGTGCCCTGTCT